AGGAGTTGACCAAAATACACAAAGTACACATGAAAAAGTAAAAAAAAAAAGAAAGGGAAATACTAACAAATCTGAAAATAAAACATTTTTTTTCTCTTGGAATTGTAAAATGCATGTGTAAAATGTTATATATGTCCAATCGATAAAGAGAAAAAAAGGAAATGTAAAGTAGTCTTAACGACACCAATTCAGCTACAAGATATCATTATTACCAATTAGACAATTAAATATCCAATCCATAATCGCAACCAATTCAGCTGCGAGATATCATTTTTACCAATCGGATAATTAATCGCAACGACTCAATTACAAGAATAAAGATTTTTTTTTTTTTTTACCAATCGAACAATTAATCCGAAGGGATAAAAAGGAAAGGGAGAGTCAGAAATCTCGTGTGGAAAGTGCCGCTCACTGCATCGAGAGGATGCTGTGTTTGCACATATGCAAAAAATCTCATCATTCTTTCCCAAAATAATAAAAAAAATAAAACCATAAACACAAAATTAAACAATATTTCTACCCAAAAAATAATAATATAAGAAAGATATAAAAAGAATTGGTGATGAACATAGTAGAGCCAAATTGTTGACGGCGATTGCTAATACTTTGTGTGGAAGCACCTTTTTATAATTTTACTTTGTGTTTGCCCTAAACCCTTATTTGGATTGAGGAAAATTATTTACAAGCCCACTCTAAAATTTTGTTTTAAAAAATCAAGTTCTCCCCCTTAATTTTGAATAATAACCTTTTTCTCTCCATTATTAATATGCGGTATTTATTTTAATCGATATTTTTAATCCTCCATTTATGTAGTATTTTTTTTAATAAATTAGTCCAAAATATTTTCTTAATGTGTGTAACTCGGTGTAATTATTTTTAGTTGAGTGGTCAAATGTGTAACTTCCCTTAAAGAATTAGTATATACACAAAATTGATCAAATATACCCCCCCACTTTATTTTGTTCAGCTTTATCATTTGGTTGGCGTGACATGCCTAAATCCCCTACAATTAATCCACAAGGCTTCCGGTGACTGAAGCAATCTTTGAAGATGTTCGGCTTTGTTTATCCTTTCGGTTAAATATCCCGTTTTTTCCTTGATAAGAGTCGAGATTCAAAATATGTGGACCTTCGTCACTTTAAGGCGATCTATCCAAAAAGTGTTAATTATATTATTCGACCATTATTACCCTCTCCAACTTAACATATATACATTCTCCCATCAATGATATTGCCAAGATGAGTTAAAGAAAATTTACTCATAAAAATTGCCCAACATACATATAAACAAAACGTAATTCACACATAAAATTTGCACTGTTTACAAAAATACTAGAAACTAATAGACATTTTTTTTAAAAAAAACTAATAGACATTTTTTCATCAATTAAATTAAAACACATAAAATGGGGAAACAAAAAAAAAGATTAATTAACAAATTTAAAGAGTTGGCAACTAAGTTATGGGGCAATTTATCATGTGGAGTTTCACTATTTTAAAAAAAGTTTGGTAAGCCAATTCTTTTTTAAAGTATTGTTTCACTATAAATAGGAGAGGAATGCATATTATTTATTTGATCATCAACAAATTAAATATCAATAAACTCAAACAAAATGGCATTCAAGGCAAATATCTTGCTTATATTTTCTTTGCTTCTTATGATTATATCATCAGAGGTTATTGCAAGGGAAATGGTTGAGGGTAAGTTGTTTTAATTGTAGTTTTAAGTACTAATTACAATTTCATATGACAAATTAAATTAAGTGCATAATGGAAGATGGTAAAAAATAACTTAGTTTTACCCTTTGTTTTATATCCTTGTTATTAGCAAATTGTCTCATGTTATCTTTAATCTTATAATAAATAAATTAAAAGCAAATGAGTAATTTTGAACCTATTTTACAAAGTATTTTAACATGTGGAACTCAACGTCTATATTGGAGCTTATTTAAATTTTAAAATTAAGAGCAAATACGAGAGAATTTACTACCGTAATAGGTCCGAAATATAATTAATGGTAAAATTAAGAAATCTTATATGGTAGCATTAGTTGCCTTGTCTAAGCAATTACCATTGATCCCACATGAAAAAGGTGGTATTTGACTATATAGAGAAAATAGAAAATTATAATAATTATATTATAGTTAACATGGAAGAATTAAGAAAAAATTATGTATTTACTATATTTTGATTTTTGAACATATTTCATTTTCTCTGTTCTCTGATAAAATTGTTTGTACACATGAATTTTGGTGCAGCAAATGAAGTTCAAAATACATTTGAATTGAACAACCCGACACTCCAAAAAAAAGGTGGTGGTGGGAAAGGTGGGGGATCATTGTTTCCTAATATAGCGTGTTTTGGTTGTAGTTGCCCAAAAAAAGATGATAATAATAATAATAATAACGATGATGACGATGATGATGATGATAGTTTCATTGGTAATGTTTGTAAAGCCATTTGCTGTTAGAGTAACAAAAAGATCACAAGATATATCATTTTCTTCTGATCCGCTACTCAATATTATATGCTTTATGTAATAATAATATGAGATTGGTTGAATAAAGGAAAAGTTTGTATTATATATCCTCAGGTTAATTTCACTTTTGTAATAATAATACGAGTTGTTGTATGAGAAGTGAGGCAAGATCATGGTCTTTTTTTTTTTTTAAAAAAGAAAAACTTGTTATATATAAAGTAAGATATGAATATGGTAAATGTAGCCTCAATTCACTTTTTATCACTTTGTTTAATATGTTTTTGTTGTGACGATCCGAATTCAAACTTCAAAGTTCATAATTAAATAATATATTGAATTTCGATTAATTAAAATTTATAGCTAGATATTTTTAGTATATATATAAATGGTCTGAGTAATACAAACATAATTCAAACATAATTCACGTGAATTCGTAATCGACCTTCTATATATATCCACTCATGGTGACAGTAAGAGGCAAAGATTATATATTTTCAATTGAAGGAGAAAATTATATACCATATATGTAGAAATATTAATATCTTTTCCTAGACATATATTATTATAGTTTTTTTCAAATCTTTCTTATGAAAATTATATAGCTATCCTAATTGATGAAATTCTCGAGCAAATCAATTTTTCTATCACTGATCGTTGTTAATTATGTCGATTCAATAGTAGAAATAATAACTCTATGTGAGAGAAGGTGAGAAGAAGAACACCTTGTTCTGTTCAGTATAAATATTATTGCAGCTAAACTAAGAACATTTTATCATATGACATTGCAAAAAAAGAAAAAATTGTACTATAGCACATGAAATCGTCGTGATGAACCTCTCGACTTTATCTGCAATACGAATTCTACTAAACAAAACAATGTGTTTTTCTTCTCATAATCTCTCACATGGAGTTATTATTTCTACTAAATATATAAAATGACGATTAAACATTCCATACATAAATTATGAATAAAATCAATGTTAAAAAATAGGCAAAATTTTGAAGGAGGACCAAAAGTGCATCAATATTGCAAACAGTGCTCCATGTGAAAACTCAAGGTTGACTTTGAGTCTTAACCCAAAGATGAGGGACTATTTTGGACCTTTTCTCAACTTTGTTCATTTAAAATATACATGTAAATTGAGGTTACAAAATTAGTCAATGAAGCTATAACTCGTTCAAATTTGACTGAATTATTGATCTGTCAATTTATTATCTCAATTCATTTAAACTCAACTTAGCTCATTAAAATTTGGATTAATATTTAACCTAAATTGATCCATGAAAAATCATGTCAAAATATTTTCAAAAAGCCATTTTTAAAATTTAATATGTTATAGATTGTGATAATAAAGAATAATAATAATTCTTTTAGGTAATAAAAGATTATAAAAGAACAAATAAAGCAATTAAAACTTAGTAACAATTGAACGCATTGAGTTTTGATCTGCTTTTTAGCTCAAGAAATTTTTATGTAAATTATTGACCCACTTATTTATTAACTCTGCGTATTTTGATTCACTCACATCCCATCCAAACATACGGAATAAAATGCTAAGTTTGGGAGACTGATGTGAAATTTTGTAATTAGTTTGTTAATTAAATAAGTTTAAGTGTATACATTGATGACGTAAAAGTGTCTTTTATATCACTGGCTCACTGAAAAGATGAGTAATTTTAATTTTAAAGAAGCGCAAATAAAGTAAAATATATTTGTACAATCGAATCACTTATTATATAATTACAAATAACTTGTTAATAAATATTTTATATGGAAGAAAATAAGAAACTTAGGGTGTGTTTGATATGGAAGAAAGTATTTTTTTGAAAAAGAAGAGGCCGCTTTCTCATGACTTTTTTATTTGTTTTAGTATTTTGGTATTTGTATATATATATATATATATATATATATATATGAGTTTAAGAACGATAATTTCAAGTTATAATAATGGATTTAATTTTAAATTTAATGTGTACATATTTAATCAATTTCTTAACACAAAATATTGAACAAAAGTTAATGAAAGGAAGGGTTGGGTGCGGCGTGAAAAAAAAAATAATGAGCTTGAAATGTCACTTAATTTTTATACATGCATTAGAAAAGTAATCATTAATCTGATTTTTAAAAAACTTGTTTTCACGAGAAAATATTTTGACCAACCAAAACATATGAGAAAATTATAAAATATTTTCGTCAATACCATGCATAATAATAATAATAATAATATTCTTAATTGGTTTTATATTGTTATTATTTTATTAGTAGAAACTAATGGACATTTGTTCATCAATTTAACAGAGATGTTAATATAATATTGCACATTTAATAGGGATTTTTTTTTTTTTTAAAACAAATTTAAATAGTTGGCAGCTAAGTTATGGGGCAATTCATCGTGTGTAGTTTCACTATTTTGTTTAAAAAGTTTGGTAAGCCAATCTTTTTTAAAAAGTCTATAAATAGGAGGAATGCATATTATTTTTTTAAATCATTCACAAATTAAATATCAACAAACTCATATAAAATGGCATTCAAGGCAAATATTTTGCTTATATTTTCTTTGGTTCTTATGATTATTTCATCAGAAGTTATTGCAAGGGAGATAGTTGAGCCTTCACTTCCATTGCTTGAGGGTAAGTTGTTTTTAATTGTAGTTTTGCTATATTTAATTTTTGAACATATAATTTCGTTATCGATCTAAAAGAGTTGTATATATTTAATTTTTGAACATATAATTTTTGATGCAGCGTGTTCACGTTGCACTTGCCCAAGCAAAGATAATAATAACAATAATAACACCAACAATAATGATGACGATGATTTCGTTAGTAATGTTTGTAAAGCCGCTTGTTGTTAGAAACAAAAGAATCATAAGATCATTTTCTTCCAATCAACTACAAAATATTATATACTTTTTGTAATAATATGAAATTGGTTGCATAAAGGAAAAGTTTAAATTATATATCCTCCTCATGTTAATTTTCACTTTGTTTGGTAATAATAATACAAGTTGTTATAAAAGAAATTGTACGTGAAAGTAAATAAGAAATATACATGTTTTTAATTTCTCCGTATTAAACACACCACGTCTTAGTGGGGAAAAGATTTTACCCCAGGTGTAGCTCGAAAGCAGAAAGAGTAGAATTCATTCGAGAGAGCTTGGTGGTCTTAAGAATGGTTCGGATGGGGATTCTCTTAAGAATAAAGAATTAGAATAGAATCTGTTCATGTTAACAGAAGAGCGGATCCAATACCAAGACGATTGAGAGAAAGGGCTAGTCTTGTATATACACTATTTCTGTTTATGTCAGAGGTGCCCAAAGCTAGAAGCAAGATTTCTAGTAGAGGCCCCTTTATAGCTTCTGGGAAAATTTCTCTGCCTTTCTTTCATCCTCTCTGTCTATGGCCTATGCCAATTGGTCTTATTCGAATGAGTTACTAAATATTTAATAAATTATATCTATTAAATTTAGCAAAATAGTGAGGAATTTAGTGTAGTTTTTTTTTAAAATCTATTTGCTTTCAAATTACAACTATTGCAAACCTAAGAGAAAAATTGGGCCACATTGAATAGGAATTTTTTTATAATGGATGAGGGATAGATATGATGTGGCAGACACAAGTTGTATGAGGCTCTTCTTAGAATTTACCAAGTGGATTATTGGGTCTCATTTTCAGAAAAATGGGCCAAATCCATTTCTCTCTCTTCCTTTTTAACTTTTTCTCTTTGATTGAAATCTTCAATTTTTCAATATCTCTTCTTCTTCTTTTTTTTTAAAATAATTTTATTTATAAAAAATGTGAAATTTAGTCTATTTCATCGTACTTTTAACATTTGATATTATTTTTCTTTCATGTATTGATTATTTAAATTACTAAAATAATTATTAAAAATTATTTGTCAATTAACAAATTAAATTATATTATTATTTTTATTTTTATTTTCATTACACTAATAATGAATTGTTCTTAAAATTAAAATTTTTTTTGTAAAATGTAAATTAATAAAGTACCATTTTTATTTATAATTTCATAAAGAATCCATAAAATAAAAAAATAAATAACTTATACGAAAAACGAAAGTGGTATAATTTTTTTTTTCTCTTTCAATAATTTCATATATACTTAAATTAATCAAATATTCACCAGAAAATATAATGGAAAGAGCATCAATAATTTTGACAAATAATTACATAAGTTTTTGTACTATCTTAATGTAACCCAAAATCGAATTTTTTTCATAAACACTTAAATATATACATACTCTTCCGTCAATTTATATGATATCTTTTTATTCTTGAAATCAAGCAACGTGAAATTTATTAATATTTTAAAATATATTTTTATTTTTTATATTAGCATAAGAACTACAACTTATAATGTTTGTTCATAAATAATCCTTCCCACTAAGTTGCAATTCAACCAAAAATACTATAAGTTGCAATTCTTATCATGTTAACATATGAAAAAAATACATTTTATAGCTTGAATTTTGAGAAAAAAATAGTCGAATAAAGTGATGGAGAGGGTAAAATGAAAAAAAAAGAATTGATTAATGTAATTTAAATAACTATTTATGTTTATCCTAAAACTAAAATAATTCATTTTTTATGAGGTTAAGTGCACGCATCTTAGTTTAACTTTTTTAAGTATGTAATTATTTGACTTCAAATTTAAATTAGTATCAATATATTTATCTTGATTGTTGACAAATGAGTATTATGAACTATAAAAAAGGTAAGGAAAATATATATTAATTTTAAGAAATAGTGAAATGCTAATTTTAATAGAGTACTTTTTTTTTCTTTGATCTTGTTATTGTATTATTTTAAATTTAGGTAATGAAATATATCAAAATTAAAAAAAATAAATATCAAGTACTTCATATTAAAGAGAGGGGTGAATAGAAGGTGGGGTGGATGAGTGAGAAGAGAAAGGGAGAGGTTGAAAAGACATGGGACCTATAAAATGTATTTTTTTCTATTAAAAAAATCTCTCATACAACTATTACATGCATACCTCATCCACCATAAAATTTTTCATTGAAAAGAAGTTATGGGGCAATTCATCATGTGTAGTTTCACTATTTTGTTTAAAAAGTTTGATAAGCCAATTTTTTTTTAAAAGTTTATAAATAGGAGAGTAATGCATATTTATGTATGACAAATTAAAGTAAGTGCATAAGAGAAGATGGTTAAATTAAAAAGAATTTTTACAATACAAAATATCTTAATAGAGAAAAAGAAAATAATACTATTATTATTAAAAAGGAAAAAAGGGTCTGAAAAATACTTCAACTTTGGCTGAAATTGTTGTTACAATATCAAATTTTATGGAGAACCTTTTACCCCCCTGCACTATTTAATTGTGTATTTTAAAGATATATATGTGCCCACGTGGACACATTACTATTTTGTAATGATGCAACATTTATGATGTCCACGTAAGCACATATATATAAAAATACACTATTAAATAGTGCAGATGGGTAAAAGGTTATTTTCAAAGTTTGGTATCGTAACAACAATTTCGGTTAAAGTTCGAATATATTTCAGACCTTTTTTCCTATTAAAAATAACACGGGAGAAGAAAAAGCTATGTATTTTATATATTTAATTTTTGAATATATTTTCTTTTTGTTATCTAATAAAATTGTACATATGAATTTTGATGCAGCAAATGAAGTTGAGAATACAGAGATGAACAACCCAACACTCCAAAAAGTAGGTGGAAGATGGGGATGGATTTTTGATGTGGCGTGTTTACGTTGCACTTGCCCAAGCAAAGATAAAGATAAAGATGATAATAATAATAATAATAATAATAATAATAATAATAATAACAACAATAGTAACAATAACAATAATGATGATGATGATGATTTTGTTAGTAATGTTTGTAAAGCCGCTTGTTGTTAGAAACAAAAGAATCACAAAATCATTTTCTTCAAATCGACTACCCACTATTATATACTTTGCCAATAATATGAAATTGATTGAATAAAGGAAAAGTTTAAATTATATATCCTCATGTTATTTTTTCACTTCAATTGTTTTTGTTGTGACGGTCACCTCAATCCAATTTAGTGTATCAAAATTTGCTCAAATATTTTAGTCTAAATTGATTCATTAGAAATCTTATTAAAATATTTTAAAATATATATATATATATATATATATATATTTAAATTTAATATATTATATATTGTCATAATAAAAATAATAATTTTATTAGATATTAAAAAATTATAAAATAAATAAATAAAACAATTAAAACTTAATAAGAATTGAAAAATAATTTTATTAGACACTACTTATAACTGTAGAAATTAGAATATTAAAATGAGGATTGCTTCATAGTTTTGCAGACGATGGTAATATAACATTAAAGTGAACTGACATGGATTGTGGTACATTGGTATGACTGCTTCACCCTTAATCAAAGGTTTTGAGTTTGAGCCTCTAAATATGAAAAAAATCATGTTGTGAGCGCACCTCCATCCCCCCCACCCTCTTCCTAAATGAACCCTGTAATGAACAATCTAAATTTAGTCGAAGCTCGAATGTGGACGGGATGAAAAAAATAAAAATAAAAGAGAAGACATTATAGTGAGAAAAATATGAATTTTGAAAAAACGCTAGAAGGAGGGGTTGAACCTCCGACCTTGTGGTTAACAGCCACACGCTCTAACCAACTGAGCTATTCCAGCTACTTGTTCTATTTATTAGCCAAATGTTAAATATATCTTATTACTTCTTTGCTACGTTCAACCGAACACTTCAACTTACAAAATGATTATCTAGATACCTTCAAAATTTACGTGTCATCTCAGTTTCGAGTATCCATGAAATACCTTGCAAATGAGTTAGAGTATTTCATTATCAATTGAAACCATATTGAGGTGTCTAGATGTACACTTTAAACATGTATTACTTTTATATTTTGAATCACCTTTTAAACAATTAACTCAAAAATTTGGACAAAAATTCCTAATATTAAATAATGTGGTCGAGGTTCAAGGTATGATCATCATGGTTCTACATATAATTCACATCATGCCTTGTGCAACACATGTTTTCTAATTATTTTTTTCTTTCTTTTCATTAATGTTATTCGAATTGATAACAATTTCTTGTCTTTGTCAAAAGATATTCCACGATGTAAAGATTATTTTGTGCATATTAAATTTTGGACACGTTAAATTAAATTCTAATTAGCTTGCAAAGCAAAGTAGGTAGCTAGTAGTAGGTAGGAAAATATCAATTCAACCTTTAATTAAATTCTTTCGTTCACTTTTATTTGTCTATTATCTTAATAAAATTTCAATTTTACATATTTATTTTAGGCTTTTTAGCATATGATTAATAAATAAATAATTTATTTTTTTATTTATCTTTAGTATTAGTTACTCATTTTAAATTATTTTTTAAAATCCATTAAAGATTATACATCGATTAACTTAAATATCATAATAAAATATGAAATTTGAACAAATAAAAGTAAACGAATGAATTATAATTCATCAATTTGCAGGTTATCAAGGTGACACCACTATGCTCATCTTTTTTCTTTTTTTTTGCTTTATCTTTTCTTCACCCTGTTCAATGATATATCAATGTAGATCGTTAAAATAAATTTGTTTGTTCTATAAATTATCTAGGATAGACACAAAGGATAAATTATTTTGAGTCTTTATCGTTGTCAAGTTGCACTGAAAAACACATCATATAATATTACAACAAAAGATTAGGCTAAAATCAGGGTTTTAACTAGTTGTTCCACTTGGTTACAAAACTTTACAACTTTCAAAATTATTAAAATGTCCATTCTTGACATGGACGCTTTTTTTTTTTTTTAAAGTTAGATCTATAGAAATAACAAGTTACTTATTGTGACAAAAAAACAATTTTTTAGGCCTTGACCATGTTTGAGATATTAACATAGTACGTATACTAAGTTAAAACCCTCTAAACTATCACTATTTGTGTGAGTTTGTATCTAAATTATTGAGTTTTCATATTACATAAAATTAGCTTGATCAAGTATGTGGTAGAAAGGGACGGAAAAAATGTGATCGATATAATTATCAACTATTGTCCAGGGAAGCTGGGTGAAATCGAAGATGTTAGACATTCAAAAACAAAAAAAAATGTGATCAATCAGAAACATGGAGAAAGAGTTGTGTCCTGACAATGTGACCAAAATGATATATATATATATTAGATATTGTCGTGCGACTAGCCTGAACACAACAAAGAAATATTGGGTGACACTACTAACAACATTACCACGTAGTCAATATATTCATTAGTCATAATACTTTTCGAATGGGGCCTTTTGACATTTATATCCTTGTACTCGAAGCTTTCTTTATCCCTAAGTCTTTGTCTAATAGCATTTTTTCACTAAACCGTTCTTGAATCCGAAGCTCAAGAGCTTCATAAAATTTCCTTTTTAATTTGCATTGTTAACGTTATATCATTTTCACTTACTAATATATTAGTAATATTTAATTACTAATAACTGGATCTAATGAGTTAAAAGTAAAGATGTATGTCAATATTATTTTATTAGTAAGCAATTTGACGCCCAACATGGGGCCAGGACAATTACGTGTTAATTTAGCTTAATAACTTTACTTTCTTACAAAATGATCAAGATAAATAATTTTTTTTTTCATTGAAAAAAATAAATTAACATATATATATATATATATATATATATATTTTTTTTTTTTTTTTTTTTTTATGACTTCTTAATAGACGTGAACGCTAGATACTATGGAGGTAAGTCGAGAAGACACAAATCAAAATCGTCATGTGAACGACTAGTTAGTTCAACTACTTTGACAATTTATTTTAAATTATATATTTTTTTTAGAGATTAATGTTTGGCAAAGAGCCGTGCTTTGACTGTACGGAATATTATATAAAATTAAATTAGATCGTTGAAACTTTTTCTTAATTAAATTGGATCGATTATAATTTACAAGTTTTTTCTAATGTCGATAGGAATTAAATTTCTCTTATATAGAAGAGACAGTTTTTCAACTTTCAACATGACTGTTTTTTGTCATATTTAGGAAAACTTAAGGGCAATTTGGTCCAATTTTTAATACTTTTCTAACGAATAATGTACTTCACTTTTTTGTAGTTGTACTTTTAAAATTTGGGACATATAAGCCCTTTCACATTTTACTTTTCAGCCGCAAAATAAAATTGCCTACTTTCCATGCATGTGGGCCATTCTTTTTCTCCACTTTCCTTCTATTATCTAATGCATATAATATAGGTCCACTTCTTGTTCCTTTTCTTTATTTATACCTTATAACTTATTTTATTTTATTTTTTATGGCAAAATCATTTTTTAAAATGCTAATTACTTTATTTGTTTACCAAATATGGAAAAATTATGTCTTTCTTTTAGTTTGTTATATATCTAAAAATTGTATAAATATAAATAATACTATAAATCATAATAATTAACAACTTAAATATTTAAAAGTTATATAAAAAAATTTAATTGACTCTCGAAATTATATTAGTATCAATTTATAAATCACAATAATTAACAATTTAAAAAGTATAAAATACATATAAAAAATCGTCTGACTTTAAAAAAATCTTATCAGTGCTACATAAATTGGGACAAGAGAAGTAACATTTATGATCTGAAAATTACGTTAAATATTTAAAAGACATAAAAAAATGATTAATTTTTGAAATTCTATATATGCCACATAAATTGAAACAAAGAGAGTAATAAATAAAGTTTTTTAAGGGTTAAATTAGTAAAGTTATTTTCTTATTTATAGTTTCTTCAGTACCGTACAAAATGAAAAGTAATCAATTAATATGAGATGAACGGTTGTTGGGCCCTGTACTGGCACGGGGTCGTGTATCTAGTTTTTATTAATATAAGAATAAGTACTCCAAAAAGGTTATTCAATCTTAAAGTTTGATATTTTAAAAAAAAAAATTAATAATGGTGAAATGTCTTATATTTAGTGACGCAATTCTAACTCATTTGTCAATCTATTGATGTCAACATTTGTTTCATAATTAGAAAATGACTTGATTTTATCCAGCCGTCCAAATTAAAGTATTTTCATAGAAAACGTATAACTAAAATTGTAGTTTTACAAGAAAACATTATTGAGGAGGCTTGTTCTAATCGTTAAGAATTTCTATCATCAATAGACAGATTGAAAATTCTAGTTTACTCGTATCGAAGGATAAGAGAAAACATTATTAGTTCTGCTCGAGTTTTTTTTAAAGCTAAGATGGTAGGAAAAATGTTGAATTTTGAAGTTTACAAACAAAAGGAGTTCTAACTATTGAACTCAGGGTCATGCTGTCGCTATTATATAGTTTAAAATAAATACAATTTATAGCATTAATTAATAATTTCATAAGAAATTTTAAGTCAGATACATGTATTTTGCTATCAGATATATTGAAATAGAGAGAGAGAGGGAGCTTTGTCTATGTATTTCAGATACATGTGAATCATACGAAATACACACAAGAGAAGTATGTATTTGTATGTATCTGATGTGATTCACATATATCTAGGATACATATATAGAAGAGTGACGAGCGAGATTTGTCTATGTATCACAGATACATGCGAACCCAGAGAGGGAGGCGAGCGAGATTTATCAATGTGTATCCCAAGTACATGCAAATCCACTTGGATATAGTGTATCTAGAATAAACTACACCTAATTTTGACATAAGTATCTCGAGATACATAAATCTAGATGTATCACCAAAAATCTAGTAAGATTCGTAATATTGCAAACTAACGTATATCTAAGTAATTAGCTCCAAAACTAGTGAAATTTTGATAAGTTACCCAATTATATTTTGCTTTTACACACATTTTAAAAACAAATCCGAAGTAGTATTTAATTAAT